CACACACACACACACACTAACATACACTCTCACAGACACACACACACACTCTCACTCACACAGACACACACACTCTCACACTCACACAGACACACTCTCACACAGACACACTCACACTCACACACACACACACACTCTCTCACACACACACAGACACACTCACACACACAGACACACACACACACTCACACACACAGACACTCACACACACAAACACACACACTCACTCAGACACACACACACTCAGACACACACACACACACAACAATCCAACGAGCGGTCGAACTGTTAAAAAGATTCTGGTATTTTTGAGTTTGGGCTTTTACTGTGAAGGAGTGACCCGTTGCTTCCTGTTTCCTGCTTTATCCTAGCAACACCTGGAGACAAAACAACAGCTGTTTGTCTCTGTGTTTCCAGAAGTAGAGCATGAGAAAATATACGTTAATTTATGTAGTACCTGTACCCTCATATCAAGCAAAGAAGTAGAAGTGGTAGAAGTAGAAGAAGTGGTATTGGTAGTAGAAGTAGGAGACATGGAGGCTGGAAACATGGCCACACAGATTGCTGCTGATGAATTAGTAAAGCTGTCTGGGGGGCTCTAAGTGGACCTGATCCACTGACCTACTTTACCGTAGACCAGCAGGGTTAATGGAGTCTGGAGGTCTTTAAAGAGGTCTTCAGAGTCCTCGTGAGCTTCACTGACCGTGCTGTTGTCTCCTCGTCTCTCAGATGCGTTCGTGAACAGTCAGGAGTGGACGCTCAGTCGAACGGTACCAGAGCTCAAAGTGGTGAGTTCAGGGGCTCCGGTTACAATGAGTGTTATCACGTCTTTAACGCAGTTACAGGATATGATTCATGATATATGTATATATATTTGACTAAATACATTTAAGAGATGCATACACATAAATGTGCAGAATAAGTTTACAAAATTACAATTAAATTAAACAATAACAATAGAACATAAAATGAGCAAAAATACAATAAAACAGACTTCTTTAATCTGACTGTTTCCCCCAGGGCATTGTGGGTAACCTGGCCAGCGGTAAGTCGGCGCTGGTCCACCGGTACCTGACGGGAACGTACGTCCAGGAGGAGTCACCTGAAGGTAAGAAGCCCCTCCTCCTAAATAAGCCACTCCCCTTTAATACGCCTCTCCTCTTTAAGAAGCTCCTCACGCTGAGCTCAGATCAGCTCATCGGAGCAGAAACAGAGAAGAAGAGAGTCACGCTACGCATCTATATTTAATACGGAGGATTCTACCGTCAGCTGCCTTTGATTCTTCTGGAGATGAATCTGGATTCATAGCTGCCATCAAACTAAAGATATTACAAATAATACCTGCTCCTCAACGTCTACCTGATCCATCAGCTGATATCTTATCACTTTAGTTTTATTAATAACAATCTCATGTGTGTGTTCAGTAGAGCTGGATTAGCTTAGCTTAGCATAAAGACTGGACACCCGGCTTCTGAGAGGAAGTGTGTTCAAATGAAACTAAAGATATGTTATTGTTCATCATTTAACATTAAATCTCAGGAACTGTATTTGTATCCTCTTAAAGGAACCAGAAGGACGGATTTTCCTCCGAGCTCGTGAATCTTTCATCGAGTTCTTTGTGAACAAATAAAAGCGTTCTGGTTAAATATTAAAGCTGCTGCATACTTTACACTCTTCATCACGCTCCTTTAATGTTTCAGCACCTCTTTGCTCTCAGAGAGGTTTCTTCTTCTGCTGTTGATGTGTCGGGGACCACCTCAGGGCTTTTATTGTGAAGGGAGTTCCTTCCTTTAGGCTTTTATTCTGGTAGCCGTTGAATCCACCTTTATATTTACGTGGTACCAGTTTGTTTCTATTGTTGCCTGTTTTTAAATGTTTTAATTAGTTTATTAGTTCTTTATTTTTCTCCTTTTATTTATTTATTCTTTATTATTCTATAAATATTCTATTTATATTTACATTTTTTTTTTTTTTACACAATCTTCCGATCACAAAAAATATTTCCTTAATTAATTATTCAGTCAATAAAAACTTTAATTCTAAAAAACAACTTCCTGCACAGATGTTTCACATTAAAAGCCTTTTAAACGCCGCCTGTCCTCTCCAGGCTTTTACTTTGAAACATCTGCTTGGAGCTCCTGGAGTCCAGCTGTTAGTTCAGATTCATGGTTTCCTCTCTTAAAAAGCATAATTATAATATAAACAAACGTCTTGTTGACCTTTTCTGACCTCTTAAAGCTGTTAAAAACATCAAAGGCTTATTTTAGGGATGTAAACCGTGGCCCCGCCCATAAATCCAGATTTAGGTTTAAGTCCCTCAGTGGAGAGACTCAGAGGGTTCGTTCACAGTTCAACCAGAAGAAGAAGAAGAAGTTCCTGAGGAGAGAAGAAGAAACCAGCAGGACATACGAGCAGAACGTGTTGTTTGGACATTCCTGAGGTCTAAAAATAAGCGTGGGATTTTGGGGGGGGTGGAGCTTGTGAAGGCAACCGCAGCGCCTCAGAGCTGCTGAAACCAGAAGTATTTCCTGGCTGCTGCTCCGTGCTGCATTCAGGGACACTGAGACGTCTGTGTATTGTCTTCTGGATGAATCTGTGAAAATCAAAGAATCAGATTGTTCCTCTGATGAATGATGGACTGTGTCAGCGCTACTTCAAGCTCCAGAGGGTCCTTGAACGCACCATCGGTTAGAGTTCAGGTAAAAAGGAACATAAAGAGGAACGGTCAGTGAAGGCAACAACAGCGTAGCCTTTCACACGTCCTGTTGTATTTAATGGAGGCTGAACAATCCAGAGGACGATAATCATACGTGTTTGTACGCATTCAATTTCAGAATAAGAGCGGTAAACGGGTCCAGCCTCGTTCTCTTCTTCTTCTTCTTCTTCTGCAGGGTGTTTGTGTGCGCTCTCTGGTTCTTCTTCTGTGGTGTTTCTCTCTCTGTTTGACGTGGTGGTGAGTTTCTCTCTCTGCATGTTATTAACTGGCTGCTCTCTGTCTTCTTCTGTGGTAAACCAGCTGACGTGGACGCAGGTAACTATCCTCCTCCTCTTCATCTTCCTCCTCCTCTTCTTCATCTTCCTCCCTCTCTTCCTCTTCTTCTTCTTCTTGCTCCTCCTCTTAATCAGTCCTTCATCTCTTTGTTGAGAACAGTTCAGGTTCAGTGTTTTTTTAAAGTTTATAATAATTAATTAATTGTATCTACATAAATACAGACTGTTATCTACACTATATTACAGATATATATTACGTAAATATAATTATATATATATTATGTAATTATTGTATATTTTTAGCTCTGTCATAAATATAATATTATATACTGTTATGTAGTTTATTTATAAAATAAAACTGATTCATGTTAAATCTTCATCTGAAGAGGAACTGAAGCCGTCACATAAATGTAGTAAAGTATTAATTATATACATACTGTGTGTGTGTGTGTGTACATATATATATATATATACATATGTATGTACACACATATGTATATATATATATATATAT